CATTCCAAAAAAAGTTGACCCAAGTGTGGATATAATCAAATGATATCACTAATTGTTGTTGTTATGTGCCATCAAGTCACTTGTGACTCGTTAGTATCACACCTAATTTGTACTAACTCTTTATTTAGTACAGATTAAAAACAAAACCAAAACAGGATTAAGAATTATCTAGGAAGTGGGTCTGGCTGGACCCACTTTTCCAGGGCTTCTTAACGGGTATCTTAATTTTAGGCAAGCAAGCCCATAGCAGTGCTTTGTTAGAACTTCTTTGTTATAACCTTGTGTTAGCTGTTAAAATTATTAACAAGTCAGTTTAAACTAGATAAATTTTAGATTAAGAAGCCTTGGTGATACAGTGGTTAAAGGGGTTGGCTGCTAAATGAAAACGCTGGTACTGGCCACTCTGCAGGAGAGAGGTGGCAGTGGATGAGTGTTGTTACAGATAAACTGTCAGAGAAGTTTCCAGAATAAACTGGACTAGTTCTACTGGCCTAGTGGTAAGAATATGCACTGTAATCCCAAAGGCACACGGTTCAAATCCACCACCTGCTCCACAGGAGGATGGACAATTTCCTTTTGTTGGATTAACTGCTTCTGAAAACCTGCTAGAGGGTTAGCTGTGGGTCGGTTCCAACTCCACAGCATACAACAGGACAAAAGGCCTGGCGATCAATTTCTGAAAACTAGCCAGAGATAAGTGGGTGGAGCACAAGTGCCTAATTTACAGCTAATGATGGCACTAAAAAATTTGTCACTATGAGCTGAGCCCTGAATTGAAGGCACCTAACAACAGGATTAGCCATCAGGATAGAAAGTACTAAATACGCAAGACTCATCATTTTATAATTCTTTTACTATTATGTTCTTGAGGTTACTTACATATGTTTATACTATCTGTATGGAAAAATTGTTGGCTGCTGAGAACTTTGTGTAGTTCTGTCTGGTCATCACACTGGCGGTCTGAAATTGGCTACAGTGGGAGTATTTACACCATGCAAACACTAGCAAGTTGGCCTTTCCCTCTGTTCCTCTCTACAATCAGTTGTTAAAACATACCAAAAACACTGATTAGCTCATGTATGGATCCCACTTCACTCCTTCTCAAGTGAGTCTGCCTAAAGAGATTTGAAATTGACCAAAAAAGTTGACTTAAAGAGCTATAAAACAGCATCTTTTGGAGTCAAGTAGAATGGCTTCCTTTTGCAACACTATTTGACTTTTTCTAAACAAAGAAGTGTCTTCTCTAATAAATAATAAACTTTGAGACATTTTGGAATTGTTAGTGTTTCAGGGAAAGGCTCATGGTTGGTTGTTGGGTTTGTTTTGTTTTTTTCTTTCCTTCCTTCTCTGTATTGTGTCCTTTCTTACTTCAAATACTTTCCTCTGTGAGAGATGTTGCCTTAAGGGAACACAAATTGGTCTAAAGAACAAACAAATGTGGACCAATCTGCTTCAGCCCACCTCCAGGAAGTGATTAACTAGGCCCACAGCAATTCTATGAAATACAAAGCCTGGGTTCACTAACAAATGGTTCTCATACCATTTGGGTCACCTCAGACATATTAAGTAGTCAAGTTACTAAAAAGAATATCCAAATTGGATGGGGTGGAAAAAAATTTAAGTAGTAAAGTGTGTAACAAAGTTTTAATTGTTTTGTTTTGCAGTGATTTTAAATAATTGTAAATGACTAAGATCATAACCTTTTTTAGAAGGAAGCCTCCGAACTCTAGTGTAGTCTGTAGGGAGTTGTGCTGCTAAATAAAGGCTCAGTGTTATAAAGATGGGCAATCTTCTCTCACTACAATTTATAGCCTCTATAAATCCTTTAGAGGGTCAGCTATGACTCGAGTAACAGTCCTAATGAGTTTTGAGAGTATACTTAGTAATATGTGGTACGTTAATACCACTACTTTTTTTTTTTTTTAATTACTGTTAATGAAAGTTTACAGACTTTGGATTTCCATTCATTCATTTATTCATTGTTGCACTTTTCTCCCTGTCCACCCCTTCCCCCCCAGTTCGCTCTTCTCTTTGAAAAGTAAAAAAAAAATAAAAATAAATTCATTGTTATACAGTCCCTCCCCCCCCATGTAGCCTTCATTCTAGACTCTTGTCATGACAATACCTAATCATATATACCTTTTAAACAGTTCTCTCCCTCATCTGTTTCAATGAAGTATACTTTCTTTATCCCCATTTCTTAGTTTCCCCCCAACCCTGATGTCAGTCCCACTTTACAACAATGGTAGTATTTGTCCTTCTGTGACCGAGAAAGTTTACTCAGCATAACGTCCTCCAGGGTCACCCATTTTATATAATATTTCATGAGTTCCTTGTTTTTCAATGCAGCATAGTATTCCATTGTGTGAATATACCAGAGTTTCTCTATCCATTTGCTTGTTGATGGGCACTTGGGTTGTTTCCAACTCTTTGCTATTGTGAACAAAGCAGCAATAAACATGAGTGTGCATATATCTGCTTGGGTGGCAGTTCTGGTCTTTTTAGGGTATATTTCCAGTAGTGAAACTGCTGGGTCAAATGGTATTTCTATGTGCAACTTTTTGCAAAAGTGCCATACTGCCTTCCATAGTCATTGCACCATTTTACACTCCCACCAACAGTGAATAAGGGTTCCAGTTTCTCTACAAACTTGCCAGCATTTATTTGTTGCTTGCTGCTCTGTTAAATTTTGCTATTCTTACAGGGGTGAGATGATATCTTATAGCTGTTTTGATCTGCATCTCTCTTAGAGCTAGGGATTTTGAACATTTCTTCAGGTGTTTGTTGGTCATCTGAATGTCATCTTTGGTGAAGTGTCTGTTATATCCTGTGCCCATTTTTCAATTGGGTTGCTTTCCTTTATCTTATTGTAGTGCTTGAGTATTTTATAAATTCTAGATATAATTCCCTTATCAGACCTGTTATTACCAAATATTTTTTCCCAGTCTGTGCCTTACCTTTTTACCCTAGTGAAATCATCTATTTTATCCTCCCCTGGTAGTAGGTTTTTCAGGATGCTTGGAAGACTGTTTATGTTGTGGGTTAAGAATTCTAGTGTTCTTCCAAGCCTTTTTTCTAATGAAGTTTATAGTCCTTGGTTTTAGTCCTAAGTCCTTGATCCACTTTGAATTCGTTTTTGCATGTGGAGTGAGGTTTGGATCTTGCTTATCTGCACTAGTTTTCCAATTTTGCCAGCACCATTTGTTAAAAAGGCTGTCGTTTCCCCACCTAAATGATTCCATCTCCTTGTCAAAAATTAATTAAGTACAGGTAGATGAGCTGATTTTTAGAATCTCTATTCTATTTCATTGATCTATGTGTCTGTCATTGTATTAGTACTACTCTGTCTTGACCACCATGGCAATGTAGTAGAATTTGAAATCGGGGAGTGAGATGCCTCCAACCTTGTTTCTCTTTTTAAGGATTGCTTTATTTGGGGCCTCTTTCCATTCCCAATGAAACTGGAGATTACCTTTTCCATCTCACTGAAGAATGGAATTGATATGTGTATTGGGATTGTATTGTAAATTGCATTTGGCGGTATTGTCATTTTCACAATATTGAGTCTTCCTATCCATGAACAAGGTATATTCTTCCATTTCTCCAGGTCTCTCTTTGTTTCCTATAGAAATGCTTTGTAAGTTTCTTTGAATAGATCCTTTGTGCTTCTGGTTAGATTTACTCCAAAGCTAAAGTTGTGATTAGCTATTGTGAAGGAATACCACTACTTCTTGCAAATAATGCATGAATCAGTACAAAAGTCCAGAAGCATCAAAAACTAAAAACTAAAGAAACCCAAGAAACAAAGAAAAATCATCTTCAGATCTAAGAAATTATGAACTAAATTTGATGATCACCAAATTCCTGTGAAAATTAGAAAATGCATGTTATTGTTATGTGTCATAGAAACCAGTACAACTCAGTGTGACCCGATGAACAGATCTGAGCCCTGTCCTATGCTGTGCCACCCTCATCATCTCTGACACACTTTCGCTCACTGCTCCAGTCCCTGTGTCGATCCATTTCATTGAGGGTCTTCCTCTCCTCCATCTTTTCAAAACATGATATTCCTCTCCAAAGAACTGTCTTTCTTAGCAACATTGCCAAAGTATATGAGATAAAGCTTTGTTATCTTTGCCTTCAAAACAAACTCTAGCTGGACCTTCTCTAAAACTTATTATCAATTATATACACACTGTACCAAATACTGGGCAATAATGAAATTGTCACTAAGGTTTTAAAGATGATTGCTAAGCACTTACATGTGTCTATGTATGACAAAGTCTTCAACTGTAACCTTAGTTGTTCTTAACATTCGAAGTAAGGTAAAATATGCTGCTATGCTGTGTTCTGATCTATGAACTATCATTTATAAGCTGACTTTTTAAGAGTTGTTGAGCTGGCTCTAACACCTACTGACCCCACAACGACATAACCAAACACTACCCAATCCTGCACCATTCTCCCAACTGTCACTTAACATAACCAAACACTACCCAATCCTGCACCATTCTCCCAATTGTCGCTGTGCTTAAGCCTATTGTTACAGCCTTGCATCGATCCATCCTGTTGAGGATCTCCTCTCCACCTGTACCCCTCTACTCTACCAGAGCTCTGGTGGCCTAGTGGCAAGGGAGCGGCAGTGTCAATCCAAAGTAATGTGGTTTGAATCCACCAGTTACACTGCAGGAGAAGATAGGAGGTTTCCTCCTGTGCGATTAACTGCTTCCCAAAACCCACCCAAGTGTTAACTATGGATCAGTCCAGACTTGACAGCACACAACAATGATGACAATTATGCTGAGCCTTGTGTGAATATGATTACCATGATGCTGCTTCTGTATCAAAAAGCATGAAGAACACCTCCAGTTTGTACTTTATTTAAATTAAATGATACATAAAGTTATAGGGAAATGACTTTACTGTATATTGATTTTGATAATACAGAAATTTACATATTCACAAACACTTACTTAGAGCATACACTACCATTTAACCTTTTAGTCTAGGTAGTCAAAGTCTTCTGGAATTCCAAAGTTTTTATCAATTTTATTTTCTTCAAATCCAAACTTTCTTTTTGCCCAAGACTTTATTGCAAATATGTTATCTATAAAAAAAATGAAAAAATATTAAAACTTGAAAATAATCATAGAACATTTCAAATATAATTATCTTGGTTTCTGCCTTTTCTTCTATTGCTTCCCTGTTAACAGGAGTAACTTGTAGGTTCAAGATTATTTAGTGAGTATTTAACAAGAATGTTTTTGTTCCCTGTGAGTGTTCATTGAAACTAATAAAATTTAATAATAATAAAAAAAAAGAAAAAGGGAACACGAGGGGTTTTAAAATAAAACAAAAAAAAGAATGTTTTTGTGAAAATACTTAACAAACATTTTGAATAAATAAAGTGGTCTCATATTTTAAATCTTTAACAAGCATTTTGTTAAGTATTTTAAGAATAACCAATGTAACAATAATGTAGACACAGGGAAAGGCTGAGGGTGTCCGTAACTTGTTCCAAAGATGAAGAATTCGGAGCTTCTGCCGCCCCAGCGGGAGCGGGCCCCTCCCATCCCTTCCCCACTTCCCTGTGCACTCTGGACAGTAATGACTTCCAGACAATCAGGCCAACGTGAGGGAGAGAGGGGGAAGGGAAGAGAAAAGGGGGGGTCCTTCCTTTCTCAAGACTATGACAGTAACAGATGTGCCCTCAACCTCCCAAGAGGAAAATGAAATGCATTCTAACACTGAAAAAAGTGTTAAAGCTATTTTAAAAAAGACAAAAACCAAAACTACACTTGAAATGAGTGTTTGCTCTCAAGGAAATAAAACAAATTCTAGAAAAGATTTATGGTCAAATATCTTCATATGAATGCATAATAATAAAACAAACAACAACAGCAATAAGTGAAAGCAATCTAAACACCCAGTGAAGGGGGAAGGCACCAAGGCAGCAGACCCACAGCGGCTGCACTAACGTGTGGGGAATAAAGGAGACTTCCTCCCCATCTCAATTTTATATGTTTCTTTAATGTACATACACTACATTTATAATGAAAATATAAGCACGGAAAAATAATGTTGTAAGATTTTAGTGTGCCAGACTATTTTATAAAATGTATAGGTTCTTATAGAATTTGATCTTATAGAATTCTTTTACATAGCTTCTACAGAAGTATCAAACAATGATAGTTTTCTGAAATAAAATTTATAGTATCTATTGCATTAAATAGTGTTAACAAAATATTTTCGTTTTCTTCTATTAAAGTGCTATAGAATATTACAACTATTAAAAGGAGTGTTTTTTTCTTGTAACCACCTACAAAATTAATCTTTACTCTTCATAACAAGCTAAGTAAGAGAAGAACATAAAATAAAAGCATAAAGAATTCCAGAATGATCTGGTTAGCTTTACCAGTGTTTGCAAAGCCAGTACATTCTTTTCAAAGATTTATAGATGGTCCACTCGTTCATAAAATAGATGTTACATGTATTTTAGAATCTAGAATCTATGCCTTCAACTTGATAATTGAGAAACAAACAAACAAAAAAATCATAAACTTTTTACTTAACAATTCTAAAATAATATGCATGCTAAAAAAGATTTGAGTATTATGTGTGCTGCTTTCACACTAGGCTCCATGAATACATAAAGATTTCCTGGAAATGATAGACCAGATACAACTGAGTAAGAAGCAGTATATTTACTGGAAGGAAGAGTCTTCAAGCCCAAATTATAAGAAAAGAAATGAAACTCTACTTAAGAACCACAGCAGAAAGGGTTCCACAGTTCATAAGAGAGCATTAAGGAAAAAACAACAACAACAGAGGGCATAAAGAGTTTAAAACGTCAAAGATTAAAAGCAAACAAAAGAACAAAACAAAAAAAGCCTCTTCACAATAATATTTAATGGATTAAATAAAAAGTATTAAGTATTTCCTTTGAACAATGGACAATGTTACCCACAGTTTTATAGTTAACCACAAGTAAATATGCCTCTTTTCTCTTAAAAAAGAATTCTTCAGGTTTTTCAACTGATCACAAATTTCCAACAGCTTGTTTTTTCCTCTATGTAGTTAATTTTTTTTAAAGGAAAAAAGAGAAAAGAGGCATATTTACTTGTTGATAAGTCTAGTGATGTGCTAGAGGGCTTACAAACAGTCCTCCCCAAAATGTTGTGAGGAGGTATTAACTGACACTGAACAGATGAGGAAACGGGTTCAGAGAAGTTCAATAGGTCAGGCAGCACATAAGGAGCACAACTTGGACTGCTTTAGAAGTAAAGTTCCCCTCACCATCCACACGTGGCCTGCTCCTTCTGTTTAGAAGCTGCTTTGTGGAGAACTATAGGGGGAAATCACCTTGTGACAACTGCCGTATTTTTAACTTAAGAATCCAGTTTTTTCTTTTTAATTGATTTCTTTTTTATACTTCAATGGGCACATATTTCATTCTTCTCTTTAATAGGAATTTACTTTCCTTTTTTATAAGTCAAGGATATTATTACATTATTTTAAAATTTAATTTACAACCAATTTTATAGAAACCAAGGGCCAATGATACTGATTTTTCGCATAAGGAATCAGGTTCAGAGAAGTCAATACGACAGATAGCAAATAAGGGGCACAACTGTAAAATAGATGAGGAGAAACAGATTCTTAAATTTCTTGTGCATTACAGACATCTGGACAGAGAATCAAGGAAACCGGACCCAAATATTGGTTCTTTCAATGACTAATGATCTCTAACTGCATGTAGCTTTTTCTATCTCTGATTAAGGCAATCTTATCCATGTTCTCACAAGGACATAGATTGAGGACGAGTAATATATGTGAAAGCATTATAGATTCTCCTTAGCATGGAAAAGCTCAATTATCAATATTTTATAATTAATACTGGGAAAACATCAGTATTCCTTTCTGACAGGTTTTAATGTTACTAACCAGACTTGTACATAATTTACAGTAATCACTACTAATTTTTTCTTCTTAACTTTAAGACATTTCATAGATAATGCTTTACTAATTCCCAGTTCTCTGAATATTGTTAAAAGGGAGCAGAATATAAATAATCTACAAATGGACTAATAATGCACTCACATGACGGTATCATGTAGTGGTTAAGAGCTTGAATTCTAACACAGAAAAAAGTTCCATGTTAACTCCTCCTGTCTACAAGTTGTATGGTCTTGAACAAGTTATTTCATCAACTGATGATGGCTGTGGAGTTACAATGAGCATGCACTGTACACACCTGCAAGAAGGCCTGCTGCACAGTCAGCACTGAAACAGTGCTTTCTATTAGTTTTAGGGGAGCTCGGGTGGACTTACGGGCAAGGAATTGCACTGCCAACCCCCAGCTGCTTCTCGGGAGAAAGATGGGCAATCTCCTGTGTGATTTACTTCTGAAAACCCACTGGAGTGTTAGATCTGAGTCAGTCAATTTACAATAATAACATTATTGTTATTAGCAAGAAGACAAATCTTTAGCATTCCATGAAACTCTTTTAAGATTTATCTTGCTTTAGAAATAAACCTAGGTTAAAAGACTAGCATGGAGACTTATCCTGGGAAAAGTTACACAAAGGTTAAAGTGGAAGCAATTACTGATTTAAAAAAAAATATTTATTATCCTACAAAATGACTCAAAAGAGTTTTTTTAAGACAACTACCTCCTTTATTATTGATCTAATTGATGATGTAATGTGCCATCAAGTCACCAGCGACTCATAGCGACCCTATGTACAACAGCTCTGAAACCTGAACTGTTCTAAACCAGTCTCACTGATTCTGACACACCTACCCCATTATCCCACTTACTGTGTTAATCTGTCTCATCCAGGGTCTTCCTCTCTTGTGCTGTCCCTCCACCCTCTGAGCATGATGTCTTTCTCCCAGGACCCGTCCCTCCTGGCCAAGTGCCCAAAGTCTGTGAGGTGGAGTTTCAAAATCCTAGCCTCCATATTATGCTGCGTGAAATATCTCAGCCATACAAAGATAAATACTACACAATGCCCCTGTTATATAATAGGACTGACATGAAGGTTGGGGGGAACTATGAGAAGAGGGGATAATGAACATTGCCTGCATTGGAACAGATAAAGAAAATAATCATGTATAAGAAATATATGATTGTGCAGTATTTGTATGATAAAAGTTCAGAATAAGACACACATAGCAAAGTGGACTGGAAGAGGGAGGGTAGGGAAGGAATAACCTATGCAAAATGAATGAATTTTTTTTAAAAAAAAGCAAACTGGGGGAGTAGGGAGGAAAATGTGAAACAATAAAGAATGAAAAATGCAACTTTACTGTAAACTTTCATTAAAATCATCATCATCATCAACATCATCCTAGCTTCCAAGGAGAAACCTGGTTTCACTCTCTCCAAGCCAGACCTACTTGTTTTCTTGGCAGTCCATAGAATGTTCAAGACTCTTCTGCAGCATCACAACTCAAAGACATTAATTCTTCTGTCATCCTTAGTCATTGTCCAGCTCTCTGATGCATAGCAAGTAATTGCAAAGACCATGGCCTGGATCAGGTGCACCTTAGTCTCTAGACTGACATCACTGCATTTCAGTACTCTGGAGAGTTCCCTGACAGCAGATTTCCCCCAGTGCAATTTGTCTTTTGATTTCCAAACTGCTGGTGCCAAGACTGTTGATTGTGGAACCAAGCAAGCTGCATTTGTGAACAACCTCAATCTCTTCTCCATCTATGATGGTGCCACCAATCTTTGTCTTCCTCATGTTGAGCCTCAATCCATATTGAAGACTATAGTCCTTGACTTTCTGCACCCAGTGCTTCAGGTCCTCCTTAGTTTCAGCAAGCAAGGTTGTGTCATCTGCACAATGTAGGTTGTGATGAGTCTTCCTCCAATCCTGATGCCCCATTCCTCCTCATAAAGCCCAGGTTCCCGTATGATCTGTTCAGCATATAGATTGAAAAGGTATGGAGACAGGATCTATTCCTGATGCAGTCACTCCTTTCTTGATTTCGAACCATGTAGTACTTCTTTGCTCTGTTCTGACTACTGATTCCTTGTCTAAGCATAGGTTTCTCATAAGCACAATCAAGTGTTCTGGAATTCCCATTCTTCTCAAGGTTAGTCACAATTTGTTGTGATCCACACAGTCAAATGCCTTTTCACAGTCAATGAAAGACAGACATTCCTCTAGTACTGCTTGCTTTCTGCCAAGATCCAGTTGACATTGAAAATGATGCTAATTCATAAAAACTTGATTTATAGAAACATTATGAGAAACGCCCCTTCTAAAATAAGGCTAGGCATAAATGAACTTTCATTTCACATTACATTAAGTGGTGTTGTTGTTATGTGCTGTTGAGTCACCTGTGACTCATAGTGACCCTATGTACAACAGCCCTAAACCCTGTTCTGTCCTGTGCCAGTCTTACTGACTCTGACACACCTACCTCCATTAATCCACTGAATGTGTTGTGAGAGTTATACTATAGTTGTTGTAGTTAGGCTCTACTGAATGAACTATAACCCACAGCAACTCTATGAACAACAGATCAGACTTGTCCTCTTCTGCACCACCATTGCTTCACTGTCGTGCTCAAGTCCTTTGCTATAACCACTGTGGCAATCCAGCTGGTTGAGGGCCTTCCTTTCTTTCACTGATCCTCTACCTATTGCAGTGCTATGCCTTTTCTCAAAGACTAGCCCCTGACAACATGCCCAAAGTATGTGAGACAAAGTTTCACCATCTCTGCCTCTAAGGAGCATTTGTCCTGAAGGAACTTCCTTCAGGACAAATGTATCTGTTCTTTTGCTAGTCCATGAGATATTCGATACTCTTCTCCAACACCAAAATTCAAAGGTAACAATTCTTCTTTCTTACTGATTGTCCAACTTTGAGATGCACAGCAAACAGCTGAAATTATCATGACTTGGATTAGTCATTAAACGTTAATTTTAATTTTAAATTGTAATTAAACTTCAATTTAAACCGTAGTCTTTAAACTGACATCCTTGCTCTTTAGCACTTTAAGGAAGTCCTTGGCCATAGATCTTCCCAATGCAGTGTGTGTGTGTGTGTGTGTGTGTGTGTGTGTGTGTGTGTGTAGGATGAATCTGAATGGCACAGGAAGAGATTACCCCTCCTTCTCCAGTGGAGCATCTAATAGATTCAAACTATGCACCTTTGGGATTGTAGCGCAACTTCTTGCCATTAGGCCACCAGAGCTCCCTGCAACAAGTCTTTTGAGATCTTGACTGTTGCTACCATAGGTGTTGATTGTGGGTCTAAGTAAAATGAATTGACAACTTCAATCTTCTCTCCATCTAACATGATGTTGCCTATTGGTCCAGTGGTGAGGAATTTTGTTTTCTTGATGATGAGATAGAATTCATATTGAAGGCTATAGTCCCTGATCTTCTGCATTAAGTGATAAGTCTTTTTCACTTTCTATGTGCGAGACTGTGTCAGCTACATAACACAGGTTATTGATAAGCCTTCCTGCAATTGTGATGGTATGCTCTTCTTCATATAGTCCAGCTTCTATAATTATCTGCTCAGTATACACACTGAACAGATATAGAGAAGGATATATGACCCAGACACACACTTTTCCCAATTTTCAACCACGCAGTGTTCCCTTGTTCTGTGTGGACACCTGCTTCTTGGTCTATGTATAGTTTTATTATAAGCACTGTAAAGGGTTCTGGAATTCTCATTCTTCTCAATGTTATCCATAATTTGTTATTTTGATCTACACAATCAAATGCATTCAAGAAAACAAAAGTAATTATCTCTCTATTATACTCTACTTTTAACCAAGATCTATATGACATCAGCAGTGATATCCCTTAGTCAGAATTCAAGTCGAATTTCTGTCAATTCCCAGTTGATGTATAGGAAAGAACACATTGAGCATTTCTCAATCTTCAAGAACTGAAGAAATTCGAGTCCTGGGTTGCAATACTGAAGGGTTTTATGCAAAATATTGAGTGATGAAGAAAATATTAAAAGAAGATGGAAGGAATGTAGAAGAACTGGTTGATATGAAATTATTTCAGGAAGTAGTAGCATATTAACAAGAACCAATAGTTCTAAAGGAAGAGGTTCAAGTTGCACTGAAAACATCGGGGAGGAACCCCAAAAACACAGAACCAGGAAATCAGTAGAATACCACCAATGAAAATGTTTCAACAAACAGGTGCAGCCCTGGATGTACTCACTGGTCTATCTCAAGAAATTTGGAAGATGGCTACCTAGTCATTTGAATGGAAGAGATCCATATTTGTTCTCATTCCAAAAAAAGGCTATTTAACAGAGTGTGCAAATTATCTAACAACAACATCATATGCAAGTAAAATCTTGCTGAGGAGTATTGAAACTGGAACAGCATGCATTAGAATTTAGCACTGTTGCTTTACATACGTACCTGTCCATCTGTTCGCAGCTTCTTTGGCTACTTTATTTGCTTGACCTGAAGAATTAAAAAGAAAAAAAAAGGCAAATGGATACAGATAAATGTATATACACATACGTACACACTATAAGTATCTATATACTCACAATTTTTTTAAAATAAAAGGTAACACAAAGAAGAAATCTATAAAAAAGCTTTCAAGTAGTGACAAAAACGGCATCTCACAAAACTTCCCAAGTGTCAAAGAAATTTTTAATCAATTGAAGCTATATTAGCCATGCACTGAAAGTTTCCTTTTTCAAATTATCTATCATCATGGTACTTTAAAAAGCACATAGGTTTAAATGTGATATATTATTCTAACAAACAATAGATATTATGAATAAAACTATTAGTGGTAACTAAATCAAGTAGCCCTACTGGAGGAAATACATACTTTATACTTAATTATCTATCTTGACATGAAATTCATCTGTATTAATAACTACCACAAAATTCACAGGCTTTTACAACTACCAAGGAGCTCTGCTGGCATCGTGAATTAGCATAATGGGTTGCTGACTAAAAGGCTGGCATTTCAAGTCCACCAGCCATTTTGAGGGATATTGATGGGCAGTCGGATTCTATGCAGATTTACAGCCTCAAAAATTCAATGAAGGGTTGCTATGACCTTGACCCCAAGCCATGAATATAACCATCCACATTACTTAACTGAAGAACATTTCATTATCCAAAAAAGAAACCCCATATTCATTAGCAAAAAATTCCCCATATTGTCTTCTAGCCCTTGGTGAGAATGAATTGGTTTTAGGTTTCTATGAATTTGTCTATTCTGCACATTTCACGTAAACAGAATTATATAATAAGTGGATTTACGTGTCTGGTCTTTCTCAGTTGCAATACTGTTTTTAAGGTTTAGCTGTGCTACTGTTGCTGTGTACCTCCAACTGGAGTTGACCCATGGCTGATCCTCCAGTGGGTTTTCAGAAGCAGTTAATGCCACCAAAGGGCAATATTCCACTATACAGATAAGGACAAGTGGCACAGTGCATAAAGTACCGGCAGGATATATGACCAGCTGCTCTGCAGGAAAATGTTGGGCAGTTTCTTCCTGTAACAATTTACAGCCTTAGAACTGGAATTTGTTGTTGTTTTGTGCTGTTGTGTTGCCTGCAACCCATAATGACCTTATGTACAACAGCTCTGAAGCCTGCCCTGTCCAGAGACTGTCTCAATGATTCCGAAACACCAATCTCCATTACCCCAGTTACTGTATCAATCCATCTCATCCAGGGTCTCCCTCTCCTTCGCTGTCCCTCCACCCTTCGGAGTATGATTTCCTTTTCCAAGGACCTGTTTCTCCTGGCCACATGCACAAAGATGTGAGATGGAGCTTCAAAATCCTGTCCTACAAGGATAAACTGGATAGAGGGTCATTATGAGTCACAACTAATTCAGCAGCTGTGGTTTTGGTTTCATGTGGCTATGGAGCTTGGGTGGAGTCGTGTGGTGTGTGCTATGATGCTAGCTGAAAGGCCAATCATTGGAATCTATCAGCTGCTCTGCAGGAGAAAGATGGACAATCTCTTCCTGCAAAAATTTACAGCTTTGGAAATCCACAGTGTTGGAACCACCTCAATGGCAGTTGTTTATGCAGGTGTACCACGTCTGTGTAATTCATCAGTTGACAGACATTTGGGTTATTTCCAAATGACGATGATATAAACACCATTTGCAAGTTTTGTATGAACATATGCTTTAAATTTTCTCAGGTATATAATTTGGAATTAAATTCTTTGGTCGTAATTGCTATACTTTCCTGATTCTATAGATTTTCTTTTTACTTTTAGGACTGTGTGCATTCATGCACAAAAATTAATTTTGAAGTTCAATTTGTCATTTTCTGTGGTACCTATGCTTCTGGTGTCATATTTAAGACATCATTGTCTTAGTTAGAGTCTTTTGGCAATCCATGGGATATGTAGCACTCTTCTGCAACACCATCACGCAAATGTTATGTCATCATCCTATTCATTGTCTAGCTCTCAGATGCACAGCAAGTAACTGGAAAGACTGTAGCTTGAATCATGTGCACTTTAGCCTTTAAAATGACATCATTCCTCACCAGGACTTTGCAAAGATCCTTGACAGCAGACTTTCCCCAATGCTATATGTCTCCTGATCTCCTAGTGCCAAGTGGTTGTCTGTGGATCAAGCAAGATGAAATAGAAAATTGCAACTTTTGTCCATTTATCATGATGTTGCCTATTGACCCAGAGGTAAGGATTTTTGTTTTCTTAATGGTGAGATGTAATTAATAATGAAAAAGAACAGAAAGATTTGTCTGGGAGAAAAGGACAGTCGGAGTACTCCACTGAGGCAAGGATGGTGAAGCTTCATCCAGCATATTTCAGACAGATTGTTAATAGAGGCTATTCCTTAGAAAGGGATATCACGTTTGTAAAGGTAGATTTATCAGTGAAGGACAGGAAGCTCCTGTGACAGACCGATACAACAGCTGAGGCAATGGGCTCAAATATGTGAAGGATGATTAGAATGATGCAGGATAGGAAAGGGTTCATATCTGTAGTACAGGGTCACTATAAGTCAGACTTGACTTGAAAGTACCTATCACCACCGCCAAGAAGCAGGCAGAGGTCACCAAGATTTACACCTACATTGTTTTCTTTCTCAGAGTTAGGTCTTTCCTCTTCTTTGAGTTAGTTTTTATATATACTGTGATGTGAAGGTCCAGATAAATTTATTTCAATGCAGAAATAAATCAGGCCCAGACCTATTAATTGAAGGCTATTCTCTGTATGGATGGTCTTTGCCCCCCCCCCCTTTTTAATTAATTTCAGTGAACATTTAGAGAGATTTTGGATTTCCATTCTGTTCGGATGGTCTTGATTGCAAAAACTGAAGAAGACTTGAAGCATCTGCCGCAAAAGATCCAAGACTTCCATATAGGTTACATCTCAACATCAACAGGCAACATTATAGCTAGAGAACAGACTGAAGTTGTCAACGATTTTAATTTACTCGGATCCAAAAATCAATAACTATGGCTGCAGTAGTCAAGAAATCAACATGTGATGCATTAGGCAGATCTGCTGTTATGGAGTTCTTTTAAGTGCTAAAGAGCAAATATGTCAGATAAAAGACTAAGGAGAGTACCTGATGCAAGCCACAGTGTTTTCAGTTGTTTACTGTGCGTCTGAAAGTTAGACAATGAATAAGAATGACTGAAGAAAAAATAGAAGCGATTGAATTGTGGTGTTGGAGAAGAGTATGGAACGAAGCATAAACTGTCAAAAGAATGAACAAACCTGTCTTGGAGGAAGTGCAGAGTGTTCCTTAGAGGCAAAAATCATGAAACTTTATTTCACATACTCTGACCTATTGAAGGGCTGTGTTGTGCCACTGACTCAAGTATGACAAATGACAGCAATCTCATGAATAATAGATTTGAACCCAGTCCTATCCTGTTTCATCTTCTTGACTTATTAATTCTTGACCTAGTAGAGCCCATTGCGGCAGTCATCATGTCAATCCACTTGATTGAGGGTCTTCCTTTCCTTCACTGACCCTTCAAAACATCATGACCCTCTTCAAAGAGTAGCCCCTCTTAGCAACATTCTTGAAGCATATGAGGTGAATCCTCTTCATCTTTGACTCCAAAGAGCACTCTGACTGCACCCTCTCCAAGACATATCTGTTTGTTCTCTTGGCGGTCCACGGGATGTTCAGTGCTCTTCTCCAACACCACAGATTAAAGGCATCAATTTTTCTTCTGTAATCCCAATTCACTGTCCAGTTCTTGGATGCATAGCAAGTGATCAGAAAGACCATGACTGGAATCAGATGCACCTTAGTCCTCAAACTGACATCATTACTCCTCTATAATTTGGAGGGGTCTCTAACTGCTGACTTGCCCAGTGCAACATGTCGCCTAATTTCCTGACTGTTGGTACCAGAGGTATTAATTGTGGATCCAGGTAAGATGAAGCTGTTGACCATTTCAAAGTTTTCTCCATCCATTATGATGTTGCCTTTCGGTCCAGTGGTAAGAATTTTTGTTTGAGATTATTGAGATGCAATTTATATTGAAGGCGGCATTCCCTGATCCTTTGAAACAAGTGCTTCATGTCATCCTCAGTTTCAGTGACCAAGTTTGTGTCATTTTCATAATGCATATTATGATAAGTTATTGATGAGTCTCCCTGCAATCCTGAAGCCACATTCCTCTTCAGAGTCCAGATTCTTGAATAATTTGCTCAGCATACAGATTGAATAGGTATGAGAGAAAATACAACCCTGACACACTCTTCATTTTAAACCATGTAGTGTTTCCTTGATCTGTTCGTACAATACCCTCCTGGTCCACGTACAGCTTTCGCATCGTCCTTGGAAAAATACATTATTCTGGGAAAGGGTGATGGTCAATGAAAGAGAAGATCTTCGACAAGATGGACTGACACAGTGACTTAACTGTGTCACCAAAGAGACCATGATGATGGTGCAGGATAGGCCAAGATTCAGATCTGTTGTTCACAGAGTCGTTACGAGTTGTAGTTGAGTACATAGCACCTAACAACAATGTTAATTTGGCGAGCATTCTCATCTTATTAATATCACACACAAGTTAATGCTTGTAAAATAACATTCTGCAGAAACCAATTTAAAAAATAGTTGTAAAAGAACATAGACAGGGAATGAGATTTTAAAAAGAAGTGAAATGAGGAATACCATTTTTGATGTAAGATCTTGGCTGAAAGAATAAAAAGGCGTTCAGCTATCCTCTACTGATTATGCAAATGAATTCAACTGTGTGGGTCATATGAAATTATGGTTAACCAGTGAAGAGCTGAAATTCCACAACATTTAATTGTGTTCATGTGGAAGCTTTACATAGACCAAGATGCTGTCATTAGAACAGAGTAAAGTATGCTGTATGGTTTAAGACTGGCAAAGTTTTGCATCAAGGTTGTATCCTTTCATCATATTTATCCAATATGTAAATGAAACGAATAACTTAAAAAACTGCACTACAGGAA